GCTGCGAGTGGAAGGGAGCCGCCGAGGGCAGGGCCGGGCTCCAGGCTGTGTAATTGCGCTGCCTGTCACTCTGACATTCTTCTCGCTGTCCCTCAGGCTGACCCTGCACACCTGCCGTTATATTGGTTCCTGTTGGGGCCGAGGCACCTCATCACTTATACATGCAGCCTGGAGAAGCCACTGGCTGAGGGAGTTGGCCCTCCCTCCCTGCCCTGGGCCCTTCCCAGCTGCCAGCCAGGAGCTGGTCCCGGATGGGCAGAGCTGGGGGCCGGGCACCCAGGGCTGGGTCAGCCACTGGAACCTCAGCATGAGGCCCAGCATCCTCCGTGCTGAGGAAGACCTAAGAAACCTGGATGCTGGTGTGGATCCCTCCCTTCCTCCCGAGATGGGGTGGGATCAGGGCTCCGGAGGAGGACCCCTTACTGCCCCAGTCCTGACCCTGGACCAGCAGGGTTCAGCCCACTGAGATGTGCCCTGCTCCCCCAGCCCCAAGCTATCACTCAGCTTCCCTTCTCCCACATGCTCTGATCAAATGCCCCTCTCCACAGGGCAGGAAGAACGGAGGGCCTTCCGCCAAGGGTCGGAAGTTGTCCGCTTTAAATGTTACAGTAGACTCTGATGTCTTCAGTGGAGGCCACCGGGGAGGCATCTTTAGCAGAATCACAGCCTCACAGAGCCAACCCACACAGTGATCCAGCCCAGGAGAAGTAGAGGCCCTTGGAGTGGGGAGATGTCCCAACCTCCCTCCTGGGCAGGCTGGTGGCCTAACTCGGCCGTGACAGCCGGCCTATCCTGCCTAAACCAGGCCATTGAGGCCAGAAAACAAAACATGCTCTTCCCACTCCTGGACCTGCCGTCAGTTCTGAGTTCAAGTCCGACTCATCCTCAAATCAGCGGCAGGATGCAGGCAGGTTGCCACCCCAGGCTGGAGAGCAAAAGGCATCCTGACTTCCCAGGAGGACTCAGTATGCAGAGCACAGAGAGCGTACAGTTGGCCAGGGAATGGCAAGAGCACCCACCCGTCCTTTATTCTCCCAGTGGACCCTCCCAGGCCCTTCTAAAACTGTCCTCCCCACCCAGCCTCCAGTCTACCCAGGTGGGCAGGCTCACTCCAGGTCAGGCTGCTGTGAGCCCTCAGTCGGACCCCGCCCCTACTCCCATGCAGCCTCCTCCCTCCTTTGCCTTATCCACCTTGCGGACGCTTTTTGTTAGGACTTCCTATGACATCACCCTCCAGGAAGCTTTGAGGTACTCCAGACTCCAAGTATATTCAGGTGACAACACTATGTGTTCCCACAACCCTCTCACACGACCCCTGGCAGCACACTGGCAGGCCAGATGCACTTGCTCTTTAAACTGACAGGTTCCTGAGACACCACACAGGGGGTCAGAGCCTTTTCTTGCTCATGAGGTCCTGTGACAAGAGCTGTGGCAAGCAGTCAAAGTGGGTTTATTGGATGGATGGGTGGACAGGTGATGGTCAGGTGGATGGATGAGTAGCTGGGTGGATGGCTGGGTGAATGTGTGGACAGGCAGATGGACGGGTGGATGGATGGAAGGATGGGTAGATGGATGGGGGGTGGACGGACGGCTGGGTGTGAGATGGGTGGATGAATGAGTGGATGCGTGGGTGGATAGATGGAAATAGGACATCTCTGTATGGTCTCCCTGGGCTTCTCTTGGGAAGACCACTTTATCTGTGCTTCCTAACACCTAGCACAAATCTCTACACAAGACTTAGATTTCTCAGTTGTAAAATGAGGATGGCTGCCTTGTACTTTTTACTATTAAATAGCATAATCTCTGTAATAATTTTAAATTCATGATAATAGGTTGTTAAATTTAAGTGAGGTAATCCATGTAGGGTACTCAGAATGGGACATTGCACTTAGTGTTAAAAATATTCGCTATAATAATTAGCAAAGCACTTATACTTTCTACCTGTGTCCCCTGACAGTGGCTCCAGGGGACACTGATGAGGTCTTCCTTGGACCCAACATACTGACTACCTTGCAGCCCCTCGCTAGGTGTTTTAGCAAATGCAAAAACAAATGAACGCAGCTTCCCACCTGGCAGGGAGTCAAGGCACAGCCCCACCTCTCACAACCCAGCACACACTGCAGTCTACACATCCATGCCCTAAGACCCTTAGCGGCCCTTCCCCATGTCCCCCCCTACACACACACCCAGCACCCAGCCTTACCCCCATTCCTGGAACTGGTGTGGGAGTGGACCTGCCAGGCAGTGCTGCCCACTGTCCCTGAAGGGGCTACCCCATCCCTTCCTGAGTACCGGGGTCCAGGGCTTGGAGAGCGGCTGAGGAAGGATCCTGGGGCCACCAGTCTAGGCTTACTTTCTGTCTCATCTTCCGGCCTCTGAACCCAGAGGTGCTCTGAACCCCCGTCCCCTCTCCTGTTGCCAAAGGCAGCAATGTGCAGGAAATTGCAGGAGGACCAAATGGTGGGGCCTCCTTGGCCCGGGGCAGATCATTATATTGGCCACTGCTTGCTGAGTGCATGGTAAGGTCAGATCCTGAGCTTTAGGAGAATCACATCTCATTAACCCTCCACCTTCCTTTTTTCAGAGGACTTGGGGACACAAGTCAGGTGGGGCTGGGTGCAGCTCTAGGGTTTCCGGGAAGACCTGGGGAATGGGGGTGTGGGAGTGCACTAGCGGGACAGCGCTGTCCAACGTCCACCACCCCGGGTGCTGGCTCCAGACCCATCCATGCAGCCCAGATCCAGCCTTCCAGGCCCACCTTCGGGAATGGGCGCAGGGCACAGGCGGGCAGCCTCTTTGGGGACCTGGGCGGGACGGGCTGCGGGCCGGAAAGCTGTTAATTAAAGCGCTGGCTCCAGCTCCTCCACGCAAAGTTTGAAGCCGTTATTTTCCACTCCAGCGAAGCGGGGAGAATCCGGCTGGGCTGACAGAGACGCCACGCGGCGCCGAGGGAGCAGAGAAGGGAGGGAGTGGGGCCCCTCCTCGCCCGGCCCGGAGGAGATCGGGGTGTCCGGACGCCCCCAGAGACGGCGTCGGCGGGGATGAGCCCCCTCCCGTGCACCCCGGGTCTCGCACACCACGGCCCCTCCGCGGGTGTGACCAGGAACCCAAGTCCTGGCCGCGCTCTCCGGGAGGCGGTGACAGCACACTCATCTGCGTCCCGGGAGGGAAGTTCACCCCGCCGCCCCATCCCACGCCGCCCGCCTCCTCCTCTGCACCTCTGGGGTGATGGTGCGGGGTCTCCTCTCTCCAGATCGCCGCGGGCGGGGAAGGGCGCCGGCTCTTAGAAGCCGGGCCTGGCTGACCCCTCTCCGCGCACCCAACGCCTGGAGGGCCCGAGGACCGAGGACCGAGGACCGAGGCCTCGGGTGCGGGGAGCTGGGGTCCCGAGGGCTGTGGAAAGGGGCCCACCTGGGTCGGCGCAGAAAGCCACGTGCGCCCTCCCTGTCTGGACAGGGAACGGGGCGGCCTGGGAGGGCGGCGAGGGGCTCCCGAGGAGGGGCTCCCGGGCAACTCCCTCCCGTCCGCCCCCGCCACCGTCTTCCGACCAGCCCTCAGCGCTCCCCCGATCC